TGCTGAACCAAACATGCAAAACACTGTAAACAACTTCCACTAATTGTGCTCACCAGTTACAAATGTGCAGGTTTTATGCTCAAATGTTCAAACAGTCTTTCTGTTATTAGGTCTCATAATCTGTAGATATATAATGATCACTGCTCAGCATGTACAGTAAAAGCAATATGCAAATCCTTGCTGGTACATGCAAATCCTAAAATGTTATTCCAGTACTCAGATTCCTAACTGGCAGCCAGTGAAATAGAAAATCAGCTTTGTAATTCAGCCAGTCATGATAAAAAATATAAATTTCAACTTGTACATCCAAATTATAGTAAAAATGTTCACTTAGTGTTTGTTTTGACTTCCTAAGACTTAACATTACAAGGTTGCTTAATTAAAATGGACTCTAAAAAATAAATTATGATTCTACTTATGTAATTTTTGCTGTTGTTGTTGTTTGCTCTCACTTGTACTGCAGTAATGTTTTTCTGTACATGCTACTTGCTCATGTATGTATTTTAATATATAGAGTAGATTGATGCGTTAATCCCCTTTATATTGCATTAATAAGAAGCATAAAACATTTAAGAAATAGATTATAACACACAATCACATAGTTATACACAGCTCTTCTAAATGGTAACAATTATATACATTTCTAATCTGTCAAAAATCATAACTTTTGTTATATTATTACAATAGTGTTTTACTATATTGCCATGCTTTTGTTGTCCATTAAAGGATTTCTAGTTGTTAGCAAAATCATTAATAAACACTTATCCTTATCACTACAATGTCTTAGAAAGCACTTCTTAAATGTCCCTGTACTGGCAGAGGTTCTCTGAGAGAGCTGTCTTATTTCCCAGTCAATGCTCTTACTCCATTTCCAGTCCTCACCATGTATCATTGTACCAATTGACTTTAGACAACAGCGCTCCATCACTAGTGCCACTGTCTTTCACCTTCGCCGTTTCTCACAAACTCACCTCACTTAAGTCAAGTGCTTAAACACTAAGTAGGGGGACAAATAAAGTTTTGCCGTAAATGATCACATTTAAATACAATGTGATATATAAAAATGACAACTTTTTGATAAGAAGCTGAATAAAAACTGATTTTATATTATTAGTTTCTGAGCAAATATGTGGGTCAGGCTTTTCAAACTGTCACTATATAAAAAAACATAACATTCCCAACCCATTATTGTCTGTTTTCAATAAGCTGTAATGGTGTTAAATGTCCCTTCTGTACTCTCAATATTTTCACAAATAAAAGATGACTCAGTGGTGATTTGTCCGAACCATCCGGCTCCTTTGTTCATATTGTTCCTCTGGAATCTAGGAATTCTATTTTTAACCTCCACCTCAGCCTTGCCAGTTAAAATGAACAAGAATTCCCAGGTAATTAAAGCAGTGCATACATATGAATATGCACACTGACTGTACTGTAATAACAGGGAGTGTCTGCAGTTAGAACATGATTTCAAAAACACTGATGTACACAGGACCTTCCAGCTAACACATATATCCCAAGTGTCAAAATAGGTGAAATTATACACAGATACAGCACAGATAATTATTACTTTTTCTAAGTCTATCCATGTGTAGTAGTGTTGATCCATATCATCGCCACAACACAGTGCCACTGTTTTGTTCCCACACTTATCTGATCTTATTTTACACTTAACTGAAAGCTTTGATACACAGTGCCAGAGAACTGATACAGAGCTGAAGTCTTAAAGAAGATAAAGACTTTTCTCTGTCCATTGACAAACATTACAAATGCCTACACTGGGTAATTTACAGATAAAGTAAGCTTGATTTTAGTCAGCTGTTAAAGAAAACTATGGTTGTATTTATCTGCTAGGATGTGATTATCAGGTTTTCTGTGCCAGAAAAAGAACAGTAAGCCTTGAGACTGCACTGAAATTACATAGTTACTGCCTCTCCTAAACATGTGTTCCTACACTCTGATTTTCATTGAACAGTGCATATTCATCTCTGTAATCGCTCATGTGTCCTTTTCTTCCTGATCCTCTATTGTCAGGGCCACTTTTTACTGTGGTTACAAGTATAAAAGCTCTTTGTGTGGATCCTCCCCACCCTTCCATACAATACGCTACAGAAGAAATATTCATATTACTTGTAAGGCTTCTTCTTTAAAAGTGTGACCTCATTTAACAGATTTTTTTTCAGTTACATGATAACTCATACAGATTAAGTAAGAAGGGTAAAGGCATCTTGAAATGACTCACCTCATTCTTTTGAAAGGTATCTGCAGTCTGTGTTTGTCTGTGTGAATGTATATGAACCCTATAGAGGAATACAAGTCCTTGTCATGCTGGTCACACAGTTCTCCATCATTCCCGTAGTCTTGTTCATCTGTCTTCACTAAATCCAGTCTGCTGAAGCAGCTTTCCAGCTTTTCTCTGCGTTTTCTTCGTGTCCTTTCTTCTGTTGCTTCTTCTTTCCTCATTTCCGTCTCAGTTGCTCTCCATTGTTGCTCCTTTATCCACCTGTTTCTTCCAAAAGAACATTGTGTGTAGCGTGTCAGTGTGTTCAGGAAATCAGAACTTCTGAAACATCAGGTCTGCCTGCAGGAGGCAGTAGACCACATAATGACACACCCCCACAGAGAAGGAGGAGGAGGAGGGACGAGAGGGTTGAACAACTACCTCTCTTAAGCGCTGTTTTCTTTCTTTACTTCTTTTCTTTTGTTCCAGTCTCAGTATGGCTGGAGGGCAACAGCTGGTGTTACAGGATGCAGGGCCAGACGACTCCTGGACAGGGTATTAACCTTAATCTGGTGTGTGTGTGTGTGTGTGTGTTAGCATGTGTGCATGCATGTGGGTCTGTTTAACCTTGAAAAAGGTATCAGAGATGAGCAACGCATTGCAAAACCAGGCAAAAATTACATGTTACACTCAAGTATAAAATGTTGGATTCAGGTTGACAAACTGGTCAAACATCTTCTACCTCTCTTTGTCATACTTCTCTCTCCCACACAGGCATATGCACACTGTGATGACATGGCTGTGAATTTAAGCCATGCACTTGACGTCAGACAAAAAATAAATCAGAAGCGAAACAGCCTCAGGGTGACATGACTCTTCAAATAGCATTGTCTTTACTTGCCTGTACTGTCTCTGTTTGTGTTGTTAGGAGGCACCTGGATAATTAAATAGTTGACCACTAAACACAAGGCGGCAGTAAAGACTAAAGAGATTTTTCTCCTCCTCTGTGGATCCAGTGTCAGCCTTTTTTCATTTTTACGAGGAATAAGAAAACAGTATCAGATCAGTGGTGCAGAGCAGAGCTGCAGCACGTTGCTGCTCTTTTTCAGTGACACAGCAAGTCTGGATGATTGAGCTGTCAGGGTATCTATCTGCTTGCTCTGCTACAGTGAATCCATCCTAATTGTTTTAGAGATTTTGTACAATAGGTGTATGTGTCTTAAGCCAAATTAAAACATCATGTACTTCTCTAGGAGAGGTGGGCTGATGTCTGAGGAAAATCTGCTTATCCTTCCTCTAAAATAATAAAGCCATCAGAAGACAAAGTCGCCATAAACCTGGTGTGATGTCAGCTGCTGTGTTTAACCTGATTCAAGATTCAAGCCCTCTTCAAATTGGTAATCCCATGAATTCAGGTTAAAATTCTGATTTGCTACCTCTTATACAAAATCCTTTCCTCTTAGCGTGACCCAATCTAGGTAGTGATCATGGATTTGTCAGTTAATTAGAAATGTTTATAAGTATGCAAGTTTACACATAATGAGGCTATGAAGGTGGGCTAGTGAGGAGATGAGTCTCTGTGTTCGGCATGGTGACGGTTAATATCCCAAACTGCCTCTGTATTCTCATTTAGCCACTTGTTAGCAAACAGATTTTTTGAAACATGTAAAACAATTTTAAAAAATCATGAGTGGGTTATTTACTGATGTATTTTATTTCATAGAACAAATGTACTGACCTTGTGTTAACCTCAGACCTTATTTCAGAAGTGTGACTGAAAACCCACTGAAAAAACTACCGACTTCAGGGTGAGGGAACCAGAAGTGCAGAAATGTCAACTCAGTTCCAGGTTTTAGGACTCATCACTACGGCACTCTATATTACAAACTGCATATAAGCCAAAAGCACTTTGAGCCACATTTTCTTAATTTGACTTTATTTGACCAGCATTAATGTAGAAATATTTGGGTCATACAGACGTTTGCCTCATGTCATTGTAGCTGTATTTGTGGTGGGCAGATAGCTGCAGCCAAACAATGTGACTGGATCTGAAGCAAGTTCTGGAGATGTGGCACTTTCTCTGTGATGATGTTACATCAAGACCTGACCACAGCTGATCCTGATTAACATGCTACACAGCACTAGCAACAATCAGGTAACCATGGATACACTGGTCTGAAGACTCATCTGTCTCAGCTTTACTGGCCTCCCATTCATCTTTACTTGTTTAAATCTGTCTCTTAACCTTCTGCCTCTATTTTTCTTCTGATCAGAAATATTCTCTGTTTTTCTTCTTTTCATAAGGCTCAGCATTCTTGTCTGCAGCATGCCCAGCAGCTGCTCAGACTACAATGAACCAATTCTCAGCTGGCAGTTACCATGGCAACCAAAGAGTAAAAAATAAGCATCATCCCATGCTCAGACAGTGGTGATCTGGTCCACTACTCGAGTGCTGTCGTTCATTTCGACACACTCTACCTCTTGTGTCTGCTCGTCTCCTGCAGGCTGAGGGCTGCGGTTAGGGCTGAGCAGCCGGCTGTGAGGGTGAGGCAGCGAAACAGTGTGAATGTGAGGTTGGAGCGTATAGAGCCTACAGGCACCAGGGCAGCACTGTAGCAGATAAGTGTCTGTAGAGAGGGAACTCCATGTCTCTCCAGGGCCACTCTCACCCAGCGAGTCCTGCTGTCACCACGACCCGAGGTGAAGCCACAGAGAAGGGGGCCACTGCAGTCCACTGAGTACCCTAAAGCAGAGATCAGACACAACACAGACATGCAGTCCATCTCCACACCCCACAAGGTCATAAAGCCCAGCACTCCAAATTGGACGGAGAGCAGGGTGAGGCTCAGCCACACAGAGACCAGGGGCTCCACAACGGCCAGAGAGGACAAACCCAACAGGAAGAGCACTGCCAGCAGTGAGTGTCTGAGGGGGGAGCTGACCGCTGCAGCGTAGCGGTCCAGGTACACAAAGGAGGGGTTGAAAATTAGAAAGCGAACACGTGAGGTCAATGACAGACGACGTAGGGTGTCCAGCAGCACTGACATCTCCTCACGCTTGTTCTCTGTTGTCTTGGCAACCAAGAAGATTCGGGAAGCAGCGACATCGGGCTCCTGACCCTGACCACGCTCTGCAAATATGATGTCATCTGCAAAGTGGGCGAACTGTGTCTCACGAAGGAAGGAGTGGCAGAGTGTGTGGGTGAAGTTTTCCCGCGACTGGGTGGTGGACTGGTTGCGTTCAGACAGGTAGTTCAGGTAAGCCTCCAGCCAGCTGATTCGCTGGAAGCCTTTGGCATATTCCAGCAGGTCCCGCTGCACTGACATGTTCCAGTAGGGGGTACTTTCATAGATGTAAAATCCAATGACGGGGGAGTACGAGCTGAAGTAACGCTGCTGGGCACGAGTATACAACACTGTCGCTGTATCCATGGCAACCAGTGCACTGGGGTCTGAACCTTGGGACACCTGTTGCCAAAAAAAATATAAAGAAAATTCATAAATGCATGTTTTTGCTTCTCCATCCAGACTAAAACAGTGTTTTTCTCCCCTGAAAACAAAGCTTTTACAAAAACCTTAGCAGTGTGTAATGTGAAAACACAGATTTGGAGTTTTAATGACTATAGAGAAAATGGAGCTTTGTAAAAATATTGGTGACCAAACAAATGGTAGCAGTAGTGCAGCAGACAAAGAAATCTGATTTCTTTTTTAAGAATTGCTTTGTGATGACACCATCAACTCAGAATATTCTGTTTAAATCTTGTGTTCTGCTATAAACGGTGTGTGGAACAGAAATGGAAATAGGAAATCGAGTGCCCTTTTCTTCTTCACTTGTTTTCTGTGGCTAGCTCACTCACCTGTCATTCATTCATTCTTGCCCAGCAGGAGAATGACCTGTGTTGGCATTTTAATCTGAATAGAGGTAACTGCAGAACAAGCTGAAGAGCCCGTTGTGGATGCATTTTTGCACTCAAATGGTGTTTTAGAATTATTGGCAGCTTAGTGTAGACACAGCTTGACATTACAGTGTGCTTTTATTTGCTGTATTGATGTGGTGCGAGTGTTCCTTACCTGCATGAAGCCCATCAATCCAAAGGAGATGTAAATCAAGTAGAGCAGAACAACAAACGGTTTGACGTAAGTATTAGTGATCCAGTCTCCATAGCAACGCTGCACACACCCCAGCAGAAGGTGCGAGTCCTGAGGATGAGGGTCTGTACTAGCTGTGGAGTGTGGATGAGGGTGTGAGTGTGTGGAGTTAGCCACATGGCCATGTCCAAGTGCATTAGGATTGTTTGCAGTATGTGGGTGAGTGTGTGCATGTGTGTGAGTTAGGTTAGTATTTAGTGAGTGAGCATGGCTGTTGCCGACCCCATGTGGTGGGTTAGTCATTTGAGTCTCCTCCTGGTAACGTGCGTACATTAGACATCTATACCAGGCCGGTTTAGAGTCCAGATGGTCCGGTTTGGGGACTCTCCGGCAGAAGCACCCGTGTCTGTACCCAGTCTCTAAGTATCCTGTGAACACCAGACAGGAACTGTAGAAGGACAACATGTAAAAATAACTGATGGTGATGGCCAGTGTGGCGGTGCGACAGAAGAGCCGGACGGCCTCCATATTGGTGAGTGGTGAGGCAGCCAGGCCCAGGGTCATTAGATGGAGCATGGTGGAGCCGGAGAAACGCAGCATGACATCCTCAAAGACGCTCGCCACGCGTTCTTTGACGTGCTGGTCCTCCCGGCTTCGCCTCCATGATGACAGCATCTCGAAGGAACCGAAGAGCCCGTGGCCTTATGGGAAACGGAAACAAAGAAGGAGGATGAAGCCTTGGGTAATATGCTATACTGCCTGTTTAGATACATTTATTTTATGTCTCACTTTATAAATAGTAAGTTGTGAAATGTTCAGACACAGACTCCCCCAATCCAACGTTGGAAAGGTGTGGGGGCAGGCAGTACCCTGACTACTGGGACAGAGTAAACTGGCCCCTTCCCATTCACTGGGATCACTCGTAGCAAGAAACCCACAGAGGATCAAGGCAACTCTGCAGTTCCCCTCAGTGCAAAGTTGAATTCTAGTTTCTTTCAGCTTGCTGCTTTAGCTTTACACTCTACACCTTTAGGGTTTTGTTCATCCTTGTCAATTACATCAAATGCAGCAGGCAAACAGCAGGCAAAAAAGTAAAAGAAGTATATTGTTGTTTGGTTGGAGAATTTTACATTAAACTTGTTTGAACTAGAATTATGTGAGATGACAGATGCAAGCCACGAAAATGCTTTTTGGTGACTTTAATAACCCAATCACTGTATATGGTAATATAAGTTATACCAAGTTCTCAGTACATTTGTTATACATTTCTTTCAATGCCAAAAAATGCTAAGATTAAAGATAAAGCCTCCTTCCTATATACATAGATCTACAGCTTTAAAACAGGTGCTATTTGACTCACTATTACACACAAGTGGCCATTTGCACTAGATGGGACTGTATATGCGGCTTCCATGTATTCCAGCCTCCTGTGCATGCACATACATGGTTATACACATGCAGCCAATGGTTTTAATGGTTTCCATGGCACCTGAGAGACAGTAGAGACACACGTACTGTACTGGTACCGCCCCCAAGTGACCTCACATGGCGAAACACCTTATCAGAGACATACTGGACAGACACTTAATGGAAGGATGCAGCTGAGACAGTCAGTGGCTCTTTTGCTTGTTTGTGTTTGAAAGAGGGCGAATCAGACAGTGATGACAGAGACAGAGGTGGGGAGGTTAATGCTGCAAAGAGACAAGAGAGAAAATGAGGGACAGCACTTGTCTAAAGATTTAGATGTTTACCAGCTTGAGACAGGTTAACAGGCACTCATGGACAAGCACACACACACAGACACACATTCAGGCACCAAGACATAAGCAGACACCCACAAGATGTACACGTCTTTTACCACATGTCCTTTGCTGGAGTGATCACAGATAAATGTATATACAATTGCACAGCCTGTCAAAATGAGTTAATAGAATAGACCACTGTTTACTATTTCCACCATCAACATCTATTTGTATTTTGTACCAGTCCTATTTTAAAATGTTCTTATGTCTGATTCTAGCAGTGAAGCTGTAAAAACAGGCCCTGAGGAGAGCCTGGAAGAAGCAAAAGAAGGTGGTATTCAAGGGTCAAAGGTCATAAAGACAGCACTGGCCTTTGAGGACCCAAAAAAGAAATGTAAAAAGTTCGGTCACTTTTCCACATTTTTAAAATAAATACACAGCGTTAATCCAAATTCCTACATTAATTTCCTCCACTCACATCTCCTGCCACCTTTGTCTGTCTGCCTCCTCCCTGCCCGCTAGTCTTCCTTCCAACTACGGTTTAACTTCAATCCAAACTGTCCTTATCTCCACCCCTATTTCATTGATCCCCTCCCTCCCTCGTCTCTATTCCTCGTCTCTTCTATTCACTCTACTGTTATTTTAAGCCTAACAGACGCCTTTGACTTTCCTCCTCCACATTAAAGTCATTATGCTATAGACTACATGGTTACGTACAGCACATCCTACAGTATTTAGCATGCTAGCATTCGAGATACCTGCCTGCCTGTGTTTTAATTTTGCTCCTAGTTTGTTCATTTTAAATATTCTCTGTCTGTTCTTCATGCCTTCCCTTTAACTTATTGGTCTAAACAAATTTATTTACTTAACTTAGGACTGAACAAAACCTAGACGAATACCCAAACCTTGATTAAACTTCACAGTCTATATTCCACATGCAAGATGCTACACAATTAGAAACTGCAGCAGAGATGGTTGGTTAAACTGCTGACAGATCTTTGACAGTGGTACATATAACAAAAACAGAAACAAACAAAGCAATGCTAATAAGAAGATTTTTGTCTGATACTGCTTAACAACAAAGCTCCTGTTCTTGTCAATCTGGCGAGACCTGGATCCAGGAGACCTGCCATCTTCTACAGAGGAACTTTATGAGGTGAGTTATACCTTGGAGCCCTGCACCTGCCTGCCAGTATTTCTGCATTTGAGCACTCTTTCTCGTGCTCAAAACCTCAGCCATGACAGTAGTAAAGTAGGTAGTAAAGCATTATGTTAGGTCTGCTGGGTCCAGATCGTACTGGAGCAGAACTCAATGAACTGGCAGAGGAGCTAATGACAGAAATGGTGGTAGGTAGGCCACCACTAAAGGCAGAGAAAATTACAGGCTTGACCCTGAATGACCTTCACCAGCTATAAAGAAAAAGCCATGTTAATTGTGGCTGATAACAGCCATCCTTTGTGCACTAAATTTATGTTGCTCCTTTCTGGGCACACACATAGCCTACGAAGATGCAGAATGAACAGATTCAGAAATTCTTTTGCCATCAGCTGCTAAAATAATTATTTGTAAAAATACGTTACTTATTACAATTGGTATTTGCTCAGCAGAGTGTGATAGTTTTTTCTTGTTTATTGTGTTTTTATGATTGTGATGCGATGTGAATGTAGGTGTGCTACAGGCCGCACAGCAAATTGCCCCTTTGGGGATAAAGACCTTTAAAACGTTTGAAGGTCTGGCAATCTGGAATGTGAAATAGGTGAGCAAGTAGATTTGGGAGTCAGGTGATAAAGGAAAATTCAAGAATATCTGGTGTGCGTTTTTGTAACTGTTTGACAGAGTATTGGAACAATCCATGTTGTTCTGCAGATCGCGGCATCAAATCATGCAAATATGTTATGGCTTCTTCAGCAAAGCAGTGACAAATGATGTATATTTTTCCATTTGTTTGGACAGTTTTCTGAGATGTAATGGTGTGAAAAGCTTCTGCTCTGGATTTGTTCCAGACCTCGGTTACGCAACCATAAATTAGCAGCTTACCTTCTTGTAACTTTTAGTTTTTGCATCCTGTCTGAAAATGTGTTATTAATGCCACCATCCTCCCCCTCAGTAAGTTAAGATGATTCCCACCACTCGTCAGTCATTTTGATGATCTGTCTACTTTGAAATGGCATTCGGCCTGAGGCTGGCATCTGCAAAACCCATCACAGGTACTGAAAGAGCAGACGGTGAACACAGGCAGCTTGCTGCTTAAAAGCAATGGCAATGTTCACTGTTCTTCCCACTTGCCATGTGTTAGCTTCACTTTCCTTTGATTTCAGTGTGTTTTTGCGTATTGTTGTTGCTAAGACTTCACTGCATTGAAACATAAGATCTGAATTGTTCTGAACTTTCCTGACATAGAGAGGTCAAAGGCATGGACATATAGAACTAAATACAGGTAGTTTTACACCTACCAAGCATGACGAAAGGGATGCCCAGGTATGTGGAGTTGTAGGTGGCTCCAGTCAGGTTCAGTATGCCAGCAGCAGTTAGGCCTGACAGTGTGACTGACAGCAGAGCTAGTAGTCCCAGCCAGGGTTTGGACCTCACACAGTCCCTCATAGAGCAGCAGAGGACAGCTAACACACTACACACTCCCACACTTGCCAACAGAGGGTGGTGTGCCAGCACTGAAGAAAACTGAAAGTCTGTCCTCAGAGAAGAAGAAGTAGAAGGATAGAGCACCAGCTTAGGATGTGATGCTGCAAAGTGCTGTAGCTCTGCACAGAAGGCCTTTTCCCACTGGCTGGCTACCTGGTCCATCAGGCTGCTTCGGGCTTGGAGGTAATAGGTGAGCTGCAATGCCCGGGCAGAACGGACACCTTCTCCCCTTGCTCCCATCCCCAAACCTCGCACCACACCACTGGGACCCCAGCCCTGCACGCCACCCAGCTGGTGCCCAATGTACGCCTGCCGCCCATCCGCCAGCTGCGTGATAGGATACCGCAGAACTGGGATGGAGCGGTTGGAGGCACGAGCTGACTGGATCTCCTCCATGGCACGAATAATATCGTCTATGATGCAGACATTCTTGTCATCAGACAGACAGAGGTAGGAGAAGGAGTAATTGAAGCTGTTGGAGCCTGTGGCCGGGACAGTCACTTGCATCTGGTAGATCTGTCTGTGGAGCTGTGTGCAGAGAAAACATACACACAACAGAGAAGCTGATCAAGTTGACTTCCCAGTGGCACAATTTGGCCTGGATAAACTGTGGCAAGATCAAAAAAAAATAAAAGTTCTAAGTTGCTCTTAGTGTATCAGAGTCTCTTTGACTTTCTAACTCCTGCTGCGAGTAAGAGGGAGAGATGTGTGGGGGAGTGTGTGTCTTACTCAACAGTGCAACAATACCAGCCTCTGAATCCTCCTCTGTTTCTATGCCGAGAGGACCACAGCGCCAGCATCCACTGTGCTGGTTACTAAGCAACAGGCCTGATGCCAGTCTCTGCCACAGCAACTATCACAGAGCTGTTGCCCCCCTCAGACTACTGCACTGGCCTCGCAGTCACAAGTTTAGACACAGTTGACTCTAGCTAGTGGTGGTGAAGCTGCACAAACATACTGCCATGTCTGGAATCATTGAACTGTTCCTGAAGCTGAGCTTCTCCTACCACCGGGGCTTCCCTGACCCCATGGTTCCCTGGGCTGGGGAATTTTGACTATGTGGGAGTTTTCCTGGTCATGCCCTGGTACAGGCCCAGAGAGGACATGTGTGTGGGGTAACAGTGGTAAGAGAATTGTTTCTTAATATGTTTTGTTGCAGGTGCCTGTCTTCGTTCTGTTGATGGTGAAACATGGATGTCAGTTCCCTGAAATACACCCCTTTCTAACTTTGTACAAACAAACATCGGAAATCTGGCCACTTGTACATGAATCAGTGTGTTATCATCAAATGACAAAAATCTTTGAGAAAGTTTATCCGATTTGTACTTTGAAGTTTTAGTTTAGTTCATGTCTGGTCCGGCTTGAAGCGGGCATGTTTTATGACCTATGGTGCAACCAGCCACCGGGGGGCGATCGACTTGCAGTGGCTTCACTTGTCAGTCTTTATATACAGTCTGCTTTGGAGGTGCTGTCTCCCTTTGGGGTTGCTATAGTCAGGGATTTTGTCGGTCAACAGCTACTCTGTTTGTGTCAGGAAAGCATAATAAAGCAGGGGTTTTCAACCAATGGTCCCCTGGCAGTCCATGAAGGCATGGCAGGTGGTTCCTAACAATGTATTCAGTAATGTAGTTTCACTGTGGGCATCACTGCTTTTTCAAACACATTTCCATGTATTAAATATTTGGGAATAACTAAACTATACAATATATAACATTTAGAAAAGTCAGGTGATTTTCAGGATTAAAATAGTTCCATTCTGGTCTAGTCACCCCTCAACAGCAGTCCTCAAGATGCTTCTTAGTCAGAATAGTGGTGTCTGGGTTACACTTGGTTGAAAACTCCTGTAATGGAGAAGTTGTAATAGGCTGATACTGCACTCGATCCCTGTCTTCTATGTTGCTTTCTTATTAAAATTGCCCATGTAGGTGAAATCAGCTTGTAACTCAGTTACAACTTTAACATGCTGATGTTTACAGAGATATTTACTATGTTTACCATCATAGTCCAGCATGTTTAGTAGTTGTGTATTTTTCCTCCTCTTGTGGATATATAGATGTGATGTCACATCACACTACAAAACATCTGCCTCTAACATCTGCAGCAAAGGCCAAGTTGTGTTTTGACTTCTTGACAATCAAAGAACAAGTATTTTTTTAATTCACAGTACTGCAGGGACACTGATCAATGACACAAAGAGTAAACATCCAAGATGACTTGTCAATTTCTTCACTGGCAAACGTTTTAATAGACTAGAACAACACATTTGGGTGTGACTCACACTTCTTACTTGTACTGGAAGTGTAAATCCTGTCTAGTTTGCCCTGTCTCTCCATGTATCACTGCCATTGCTTTCTCCATCAAAATATACTCCAGCCTGTATGCAACAGGTCCGGACCCATTCTCAAAGGGATTCTGAAAGGCTTTTGGGGAAATGCAAGAATTCACAAAGTGAGTTCAAGTGAAGGCAGAAAAAGGGAAAACTGCAAAATCTTAAACCTGCAGAAGATACATTCTGTACCAGGGGAACAGCTGATTTTTCTTTTCACTCATTCTCTTTATGAACCATCATGTTCTTCTCTCTGGCAGTGTATGTTGCTCAGCTGTGGCATTGTTCTGGGTTACCTCTGTGGTCTGGGCAAATGTAACCCTGTCTGACAAATACACATTTTGTAGAAACGTGCATGGAGAGGTACACAATAGAGCACAGTCTTGCAAGTATAACTATTAGTCAGCAAGCTCTAACTGGAAACACATGACTTCATAAAATGATTTGGCTAACTGCTCCAGGGTTGTCAAGCCATTCTCATAAATACAGTACCTGGAACAGATCGGCTCTGCAGCTAACACAACTTTGTAATTATTTGTTTCATAGAGGAGACCATGGCTTTCATTTAAAGACTGTCAACCTTGAATATGAAAAAATACCCTAAAATATGGAAGAGAGCCATTTAAAATGCACATTATTATAAGAATTTGACCAAGATGGAGATCGTTTTTAAGTGGGATTGGTGCATCAATTTTAATAACCTTCTTAATTCATTGTGTTACGTTGTGGTACTGTTCATTTTGTTAGTTTTTGCTCACTGACTTTACAAAATTATTTGGGAATGTGTTTAAATTTTGTCTGTACGTGCTGTGCGCGTGCATACCTTTAATATGGAGTCCAGGTGAACCGGGTCCAGGACGCTCCCCTTTCTGGCGGTGACGATCACGCGCCCGTATCTACCTGGGGTCTGCAGATCCGAGTAGAGCGCATGTTTGGAGCGGTGGTTCACGGGGAACAGGCTGTCCACCAGGTTACCCTCTATCTTGGCCAGGCTGTGCTTCGGCACAAGCAGACTTTCCACGTCCTCCTCTACACGGTAGCGGCTGAAGCTGGCCCCCAGCAGGATGGAAAGGAGCACGGGCGCCGAGGCGAAAAACACCGGGTGGCTGGCCACAAACCGGCCCAAAGACTGGAAGAAGGTCCTCAGGGCCCCTTGCAACACCTGGCGCAGCATCCTAGCGCGCGGCCGTGGCTCGAGCCTCTCCCCCCGACCGGAAAGACAAGCACTGCCAAGCATGAGGAACTGCCGGACGCATCAGTGGTTTCCGTCGCTTTCAGTCTCGGGGAGGAGATGTGACAACGGGTGGTGGTAGGATATGTCCCTCGGAGGAGGAGGTCACAAGCCGGGGAGAGCCCAACCTTCCTCCGGTTACAAAGGCGCCACTTTTTCGGGGTTCACTCATCCACTGGATTAGCGCAAGGACAGAAAACGCCTAGATGAGGCAGAATTCCTCTGCTCTGCAATTAGAAAGCATATTTATAGCCTACTTTTCATTTAATGGCCACTGCCCTGCTGCGTCCAGTGCCTTCTGCAAGCTGCACGGCTCTGTGCGCAACACAAAAATCGCAGAGCAAATCTGGCTCCTAATTAGACTTGTTTAGCTTCCCCTTAGAATTGACTTCTGATTTGTCTGTGTACTCGGATAGTTAGATGACACAAAGTAGTTGCACTACACTGAAGGCTGCAAGAAGCGTACGGGGGGACCGACCTGGTGATGACGGAGATCATTTAGACCAAGACGCTGTCCTGACCTGGTGATGACGGAGATCATTTAGAGCAAGACGCTGTCCTGTCGGCTGTCCGTGCGTCCAGCTCCACCCTACATCAACAAGTCACCACACAACCTGGTGGGTTGCCGAGGTGGTGGTGGTAGGTGATCCTGGCTGCATGCACCGGGAATGCTGGTAGAGCCTTTTGTGAAATAAGCCAATTCTAGGTTGCCTCTGCGGCAGAAGGCTTTCTGTCGCCAGCCCTCTTCTCTCATCATCGCCCCGGTATTTTGGCGGAGCTCCTCATCATCCGCCACCGGGCTGATCTCCCATCAGCGCCTGCTCTCCTCCGCGAGAAGACACGTCACTAATTACCGGCTTTACCAACCGGGACCGTTTCTCTCTCACTCTCTCTCTCTCTGTGCCATCGTTCTGTCTCTGCACCGCCCTCACCACCCGCTTCAATGCAGAGAAACAGTTAACAACCGTTTCGGACAGAGTGAGTGGCATCGTCTGTTTGTGGTGACTGAGAGAGAGAGAGAGATTCAAATGATTGATAGTGATCATAATGTTTTTTTTTTTTTGTTTAGTTTTTATTAGCCTATAATGATCGGCAAAGCTTTATAATGTACTGTACAATCAGTTGCCTCTATCCTCTAGAGTCCTGAGCTTTGGAAACCCAAGCTGTGCGGTCCTCATATGAGGACGCAGGGACTCTAGAGGTTAAAACGATAATAATGAATAGTTAAATTATAATAGAAGCAGATCTAAAGGTTTAATACATTTCTTATAAGACATAATTATTCTGGACACCCATTAAGTGGAGATTGCTGTATGATAAGATGATTTTTTTTTTTTTTTAAACGGTCATACTAGTTTGAATTTTATTTCCAAACAATATCCTGGTTTTCTGGAAAGAATCACATAACCACATGTGGTACTACACTTCCAGTCATATATGAAGAATAAAGTTACCCATATGACGGTGTAATAAATATTCATTAGGTCAAATAACAGTCTCTGAACTTTGGTACTAAAGAAATTAAAGCCAAAGTGCATGGTTCTTTCCAGGAAACATTCAAGAGATTAACAGACCTGTAAATAAAAGAATGATATAGTCCAGTGCAGCTGTAATAGTTTAGCAAAACACACAACACATCATTAGAGATGTTATAACTGTTGACAAATACACTTGAAATGTCTTTACATCTGAAAATAAGTGTTATAAATATTTAGTTAGACATTTTAAATGATAAATAGAGGAAACTAATGATATTATGGCATTTTGTGATTGTTCTGCTCACTGTGATGTTCATATGTGACGTTAGGGTTCCTGGGATGCATACTCAAAAAACAAACATGTCACTCCATAATTATTAGAGGCCAGATATTTTACTTACTTTGTTAGCAGCATCTGACTACATGTGAGCTGTTCTTTTACAGGATAAAATGCAGTTTTTAATATTATGTGATATCTGCACAGTGTTTTAATTGAGGTCATTTGGCAATATAAGTACAACATTTAACATTAAGTGAAGCATCTCTTGCTGTTGTATCATCTGCTTTGAGAGAAACCAGACAAAACTTTTTTTTACAAGCCCTGGTTGCCATAGCAACAGTGATGCCCCCCAAAACACATATACATGCACAGTATTGCACCCATACATGCACTACACATTCTCTCTCTCTGCCCCCTCACACACATACAAACACACACCTGCTGACTCCCAATCTGCTTATGGTGTGGAGGGCTCTGATGCAGTGCCATCAACAGCAAAGGAGACGGAGAGAGAGAGCGGGAGATGGTGATGATAACAAGCGCAGACCCACCAAGATCAAACTCTTTCACTCCATCTTTTCATTTAGACACATGAAATCAACGAGCTAACCAGCCTTTGGTCTGTGCACACTGTCCCCCTAATGGCTCCTTCCTCTCCCCACATATCAAGGCTGTCTGGATTAAAAATGTCCCTGCACAAAAAACATTCTGTGTACTCCCAATGCATGACACTACGCTTGGATTCATATGAAAGAAGGCTTTGACATGATAAAAGACATTTCTGAAATTTGTCCTCAGTAGTTAAATAAAATCATTAGGCCCATATCTGCACAACCTCTATACAACAGTTAGGGCTTGTTTACCAGTGTGACATTATTTTGTGAAATTGTACAGTATGTATAATATGTTATTCGTGCATCTAGAAAGTACCTCAGGTGACATACAGTATTTAGCATTTTTATTTTCACCCTATATAGCCTTATGCATATTGCACCTTAAAAAGTTGGCAATTTTGTGTGATGTGCTAACAAAACAAACAAGAAGTAGATATTAAATTGGACAGAAATTGTTGAGCTATCTCACCTGTTCAGCTAAAGACCGCACATCAACATAAAATTAAAGAAATAAACATCTCAAAGAAATGAAAGAAAGCAATTCATGCCCAAAATACCGAAGGTCCTCCGATAAACAACCACGTGTTGTTGGTCCCTATAGGAGTGTTTCCTGAATTAATGCTGCTACGGCTGCAAGACACAGATAAACAGTAAGTTTTAAGTGAGTCTCTCAACCCACCACTGCTTCACCGAGGTGTAAACATGCACGTGGTTAATCAGCCAGCTGAGAAAAACAACACACCCATGACCAATGCTTCCAAGAAAAAAGTAGATTAAAACTGTAAAGAAAAACCAGGAAAAAAATCTGCATGCATGTTATAATCCATAATTCAATTAAGCATCAGTTAAACACTCATCCCCGTTACCAGTCCAGCAAGAGAGCTGCTGGGAGGGAATGAATGAGTACATGTCTCCTTGGGGAGGAAGGAAGAGCAGAATGGAAAATTAAAGACTGCAGAGGTACAGGGGGCTCAGGGCAGGTTCTGATAAAAGTACTAATTAGTGTTGCTAAATGATTTATAGAAATCAGAACTGTGTCTGTGGGACAGAAAGAAGAGGGTGGAGAAAATGAATGGAGTCCTGTTGAAAGCCTTTCCTTTCCTGCCAGGCTATTTTCTGCACCTACAGAAATGAAGCAGGGAAAATCCTCCAGGGTTTAAAAACTATCCAACAATACACTTAAACACTTAACATAGATACACACAGGCATAGATGACAGACAGATGAGGAAAACGGTATAGACAGCATTAAAGAAGAGCAGCTCTTAAATTTCACTGCTGACAGACTGACATTCTGTGTGTATTTAGGTTGTACACCTTTGTCCACATTCCCTACATTATTAAAGAGAACTATGGACACACAGCAGATACTCATGAATAAGGTTTCTCCCTCTGTGTTCACACTCCTGTGAACCTGTCCCCCCACCCCCAAATCCCTCAGTCCATCTGTTTTGGTGCAGACCATCTATTAATAAAGAGTCTGTCCTTTTCCATTTCTATTTCCAGTCCTTTTGTATTATTTATTTACCCATCTATCCCCAATTATGGTGGGCAGGAATGGGTGCCAGACTGGGAAGCAGCACATCCACCTCTCTCTTGGAATAAAGCTAAGAAAATCTTTAACTTTAAAAGCTGATTTTTACCCCTCCTTGAACCGCCACCTTATTGTGGTGGAGGGGTTTGAGTACCCGAGTGATCCTAGGAGCTATGTTGTCGGGGGCTATATGTCCCTGGTAGGGTCTCCCAAGGCAAACAGGTCCTGGGTGACGGGTCAGACTAA